GGGGGGGGGGTTGGTTATCTGGGTAAGGTGGTGGCAAGTTCTTCTTTATTTGCTCTTGATAACTTCTTAGAAGTAAGGGGAATAACCCTGATTTTCTGCATATCTGCCTCCTTTGTTTTCCCGAGGGAGAAGGAAATATGCAGTGACACAGATCCATCATGGATTTTTAAGCCAGCATCTTGGGGTTTACAAATCCAGATTAACAAAATCCTCTCTTGCTTTGCTCCAGAATCTTTTGTGACTGAACTGTGCAGCTCATTCACTGAGGAAAAGGCAAGAAGTGGATTGAGTTGATGCAGTTCTCTTGATCAGAAATTACATCTTTAAATCTGTTAAAAATGCCATTTTCAGAGATCTCTGGAAGTAAGTAATGTTACAAGGATGATAAAAAATGATTGTGCAGAGAGGTTAAAATCCCAAATTAAACATCTCTGCTGGTGCAAAGACAGACAACAAGTATCTCCCTGGCTTGGCAGTATGTGATACTGAAGGGAAAAAATATCCTAAAATTCCCTCTTCTGTCCCAGCCTGCCTCTGGTTGATTTAGAAATGTCTTTCTAATCCCTATACTTGTTTGTGGAAGCTGGGGATTTCCTTCTAGCAGATTATTCACTGATTTCCCCCTTGGTTTTTTGGGTTTCCAGTTTTTGTGCCATATTCTCTGTAACATATTTGCAGCCAGAATGGCTGCTTTTTTTCCAGAGCCAACAGCAGAGTTGACTTTTGCATTTTATGTAATTTTTATATGCTATTGCTTTGAGGAATTTGGTTCTGTCATGCTGTCTGCTGCTCTGCTTCAGTAAGACCTGCCATCTCTGTCATGTAGTGCAATGAAATTATTTGGTTTCTACAGTATCTTCCTCTGTCAGCTTCTTAGACTGATTTCAAAAGTTGAAGTAACAGGAGCTTTTTTTTTTTAGGTCGCATTTTTCTTGCTTTGTGTGTGAGTAAAAGATGACATTTCACAAAGCGTTAGAAAATTATTTAGCTACTGAATCTGGAGCTTAATTCAATGCTCAGAGCAGATGAGGGATGTCATGGGAGGATCCAGGGTCATTTATAAAGATCATTACCTGTCATGTCTGGTGTAAACATAGCCCTTTGACAGGGGTCCAGCACAGCCTGCTGTATTACAAGAGCTTTTACCAGCTGGGCTCTCTGGTAAGCGTTGCAGGATGCAAGCTGGGAGATGCGGTGAAGTGCAGGTCTCAGTTTCCAAACTTGTGCTTCCATCTGTGTATTGAGGGAATCGTCCTAGATCAGAGCTGGGAGAGCGCAGAGCTCTCTGTGCATCTGCCGCCTTGGCTGAGCCCATCACTGCCCACCCCAGCCCTAGTGCTGCTGCCTGCAGGGTTTCCTTGGCTGCTGTTTGACTCCAGGAGCCCTCTGCTCCCCAGCCAGGGCTGCAGTGTCCTTCCCAGAGGAGGACAGATTCCTACAGAGGGCCATTTTGGATTATTTCGTGCCCTACATGCTCTCCATCGAGCATGTATTATCCCACCAGAGTCCAGCTGGGAAACATGAAAGGGGAAAGACTGGTTAATGTTTAAAAGCCTTTCACAGATAAGGTGTAGGGATTAAGTAACCTTAAGGAAGTCTCTAATGCAGGTTGCTAGGGATTTAGGCCTTACTGGAAAAAATAAAACTATTTTAAGGTGGGCAGTTGACACCTGTATGGGCCTGGAATGACAGTGGAACAGTGTGGATTGCCTGTTAACAGAGGGAACATGCTGTGTAAGCGTCTTTGCTCAGCACTGCAAATATGGGAGCTGCCTGCCAAACCTGTGTTGCTGGAAACTTTAGCCTAAATGGCCAAAAGTATCTAAAAACCAAGAATAAAAATCTGTAAGAGGAGACACCTGGAAGAGTGTTTAATAAGAAAAGAAAAAAACCTCAGGCCATGGCAATAGGCAATCATATGAAAGGAAGCACAGTAGAATTCCTAATTATGAAACCTCTTATATCGTGCAAGTATTTTCCTTCAGTCTCTGACATAAATCCTATAGCTGGAGTTATCAAAAATTCTGTTTGTTTCTGTGTGTGATTTCTCAGAGAATCCAAAGCTGTTTTCTTTTCCTCAGCATGGAGCAGCTGTTATTCCTCCATTAACTTTCAATCAGAAACCAACC